TGAATACTAAACTAATTTTAATAATTTTATAACTGTTAGAATCAGAAAAACTTATTCTACAATTTTAATTAAAAGTCCAAATATAATTTACTTAGTAAATATTTTTGTAATTATAAAAAGGAAAAAATATTTTCATAGATTTCATATAAAAAAAGATCTACATATCCCCTACCCTTAAAGAAATGTCATTTTTGGCCATATAGTAGATAATTTTCATTAAGCTTATAACATGTTTAGGCGATAAATTTAAATTTTCATTTTTTTTATATGAATCGATATGATCTTTAGTTTTAACGTATTCTTTTATAGCATAAAGTTTAATGTTTGTAGAACCTAATCAAAATATATATTTATTAATAATTTATTTATAACCACTAATACTATATATAAAATTATTATACTTACTGCTCGTAGCAAAAGCATTTTTTTTACTAGAAGCACGACATAAAACACAAAACATTCGATCATTTTGAGTATTACATTCAAGCCATGGATAAGTATTTTTCCAGCTTGGTTAAAATTTTCTATTAGTGCGGTTAATATATTGAGACGTTATTTTTGTAATATCCGATGACATTTAACTCAAAAAATATTTACGTACATATTTTTTAACAGCTGCAAGTGTGAATTTTAATGACCAAAGGACATTAGCAAATTTCTATAATTTCTATTTGTTATTATAGCTATTGTTAGTTATGAATTTTAACGACCAAAGAACAGTAGCAAATTTCTATAATTTCTATTTGTTATTATGGCTATTGTTAGTTATAATATATTTTATTCGATAGTGATAGATCAAAAAAGAAACTTTAAACAATAACCATTAGTGCAGTAAATAGCTAGCAAATTACTATAGTATTTTCAGCCCTGTTGTGAAGTTATCCCAATTTTCCTTGGTTGTGTCTTTGTATAGAAATATTTTTCTTTCTATACTTTCGTGTCCTGCAATGCATCCAATTTCCAGTTTTATAATTTGATCTAGTTTGATTTGTATCCAAATTAGATTGTAGTCACTTTCTGTAACTAGTTCTATTTCT